ACTGAAAACTCTTAGAAGCCAAGTATGCCATTTAAACAAGAAATTGCTTCTGAAAGAAAAGTAATGGTTTCCTAATAAATACAGGCAATTATTTTATCCTTTCTTATGTATGCTATTCTTAGCCAACCACTTATACTGACTATGATGACAGAAGGGCAAACCCTAGTTCCTTTTACTTTTAATCCTCCCTTACTCATCAGGAAACTTAGTGTATTGGTAGAAAATACATCTATAAAGAGGAAAAAGAGAGCTGAATGAGTTTTGTTCATCATTTTTACTGTACCAATAGAACAAAATACATGTGTGATACAAAGAGCAAACTGGATGAAGTGTGAATTATGTAACTTCTATTATTTCACATACAGGTTAAGTGCTCTTATATTTCCTTTTAAGACAAGCATTGCACAACAGAAATATGAATAGCAAAATGCATGCCAATAATTTAAAACCTTTTATGCCCACTTGAAATGGTATTCCATAGCAAATGAAAAACGCCATGCTAAGTCAACAAAGAGGCTATCAAAGAAAGAGAACTATTTCAGTACATTTCATGATACTTTATTCCTACTTTTTTTGTTTTGTTAACGTTTTCATTTTGCATTGGGTCCACAAATTAGCCCTGGTTGGCCCTGGTCCTGCTGCTTTAAGCCATATGCACAGCATTGATAAGGCTGATTCCAAAAAGATCTATCTCAAATCTTTTCCCAGTGTGATTTCTAGAGTTTGTACTCCGTGTCATGCTCCCATTCTGGGACACCCATTAGGAATAATGGAATTATTTGCACTATTGAGGCAATGAATAAAAACCAAAACATTTTCCAAATGCTGTTCTGAATGAATGAAAAAAAAAACCCAAAATAAAGGATGATGTGTTAGATGTTCTCTTTAAAATCACACATAGAGTATCTGTCAGAGGGATAGGAAAAAGCTGACTCTCATACTCCTAATCTTGAGATCTAATGCTATGACCTATCAACATCTTCCACTCTACACTGCTGGCATTTGAGCTTCAAACATCATTTGAAAACATTAACAAAATCATTATGTGTTGAAACCTTTGATCATATCTCAGCTGGGAGCCACCCCAGCCTCACAGGAACACATGTACAGTAAAAGCCTCTACCCTTCAAAAGATTTTTGCAAAGAACACTTCAAGGTCCAAGGGTGGTCCTATGTCTTGCTCAAGATGGGAGGGATCAACGGGGGTGCTCCCTAGGAGTGATCTCTAGGTAGGTCTGAGTGTTTCTAATCATTGTATGCTGTTGTTACGTACCATTGAGTTGGGTTTTCATAGGCAATTAAATGCCTGGGAAAAGAACGTTCATCTTTCTCCCATGGAGCACCTGGTGGATTTGAACCACATGCCTTTAGGTTGGCAGTGCAACTCCTTAAAACTAACCCAAATCCACTGCCATCAAGTTGGTTCCAGCCTATAACAATGCTCCAGCAGGTTTCTGTGGTTATACATTTTAATGGGAGGAAACTGCCCATCTTCCTCCTGCAGGTTGGCTGGTGGATTCAAACTGTTGACCTTTCCGTTAGAAGCTCAACATGCAAGAATAAGAGAATAAGGTATGAAAAATCAAGTTCAAGTGACAAATCCCTCTCAATCAGTAGGAACTCTAAGCCACAAAAGAAACAAGCATGGATGCTTTCCAAATTGCCTGCACACCTTCGAAAGAGTCCCAAGTATCCTAAACAGATGTTTGACCAACATGTCTTGGTATATTCTTGAGGTCCTATTACTATTCTTTTTTCATGCAGACTAGAAAGGTCCACTGAGCCTAGAATTTCTCCAGAAGCCTCCCAACAGCTTTTTTTCTTTTAAAAACAAAAAACAAACAACAAACCAAAATTTTATTTTAATGAAAGTTTACAAAGAAGTTAGATTTTCATTCATTAACCCCTCCCTCTTTTTCCCCTCCCCCAGTTCACTTTTTTAATAGTCATTCATTGTTGCACAATTACCTACCTCCCCCCTCCCCAGTCCTCTTTGCACCAGCCTCTTGTTTGGAACAGCACCTAGCAACACAGCTTAATCCCCCAGGTACTTGTGAGCTAGTCCAACTTTCCTTTTAAATTCTGAGCCTCTCTCTGGCATAGCTGTGCTGATGGTCCACGCTTTAGAGAATACGGTCAGATTCTCACACCTGGAACCCAGAGGGTGGGCTCAGCCAGCTGCTGATTCAATGGAAGGACCTTTGTCAGAATAAACCTGCCATTGTTGGTCTCCTTCCTTTTAGCAGGTAAATGGGAGGAGAGCTCACAAGTCACGTGGCTCTAACAACAGCAGCAGTGATAATCTTTCGAATCTTTCTATCAAATTATAAATGCATGTTTTAAAATTTTGTTTCCATTGAATTTTGTAAATAAACTAGTAGAAAAAATAATTCCTATGAAAATATTTTTATAACATGCAAAAAAATGTTACTAACAAAATGATAAGTGGAAATAAAAACAAGATGACAGTGAATAGAGGCGAACCTTGGCTCTGTAAATAGTTTACATCTATGCACAGAAAAAAATGTGCAGGATGGAAACATACTACAGTGCATTTCTTTAGGTGGTAAGTTAGCAGCACTTTTAAAAATATTCATCTGTTAGCATTTTGGGACTGTTTGAAGAGGAAAACCGTTATTATAAGCTTGTATTACTCTTGTAATGGAAGAAGAAGGGATACCTTCTTATTAGCTGGGTCTGCTGAGAAAGCAGCATGCAATTTTATGTATCACCCCAAAGGACCAATATGAGGCTTATTTCTACTCTCCCCCATCCCACCCTAGTGAATTGTATGTTGAACCCTCCTCTCAGCTTAATTTTCTGTATGGGATACAGACTTTGGCTTTGATAAGACTGCTTGGTTTCTAATCATTCTTCTTTCTTAGGTGAAACTCAACAACATCTAGAAACAACTTTATTATTCAAGAGACAGTATTTCCCCCAACTGCTGGTTATGATAGCTAAGAGCCTCCCAAAAGAATTTACAAAGTGTAAATTCTGAGACTGGGCTCAGGAGGGACAGAGGCCCAAAGGATGCTGATTTTGTGCACAAGAAGTGTGATGACAAGATCATTGATTTTGAAGCTGAATGGTTCCTTTTCCCCTGCAAACTGATGCTTTATTGGAGCTGTTATGAAGATTTAAAAAAAAAAAAAAACCATACCATGACAATGTATGTAAGAGCCTAGCTCAGTAAACAAAGCAAAAGATTAATAAGTGTAGGCACTGGAGGAGAAGGCAGCAGAAGGGGAAAATATGTTGTTGTTCCACCCCACTCCCAGTTCAAACTATGTGTGTGGGGTAGGGGGAGGCGCTGTTAGGGTGGAGTGAAGGAGTTTTCCAGATCTCAGCCCCGCCCTGACTTTTAGCTTGTCTGACCAAGGGCACATCTTTGGTTTCAGGATGGAAATGTAGCCACTTCAGGGGTAAAAGAGAGGCTGTGCTAGCCTTGGCAGGCAGCCAAAGGTGTGGGGTGAGGGGTAGCCTCAGTGTTTATGGATAACACTGACTCTAAGCCTCCATTACCACTTGGACATTCATGATCCCCAGCACCTCTTGCTCCACCCTGAGCCATTGTGTCCTTAACTGGATAGCAGTGTGAATGCCAGAGATTTAAGGGACTCAAACCCAATCTCAGGATGGATCTAACTATCCCACCTTTGGAATACGACTGCTTTATCTGCAGCCGTTACCTCTAGCACTGTTACTAATACCATCCTTTCTTAAATTACTGTTACTACCAGTATAACTATCAATACTTTTACATTTGTAAAATGATTCACAATTTACAAAGTGCCTGCATGGTCTGAGTTTCACCTGATTCGGGAGAACATTGGGCATGGCTTTATAGGAAGGCAGAGAAGAGCTGGTATCCGAACAGAAGTATTGATATTTACTTTCATCTCCCAGCTGCTTGGACCCTAGACATTTACCATCCCCAGCCACACCCAAACCACAGTTCCAAGTGGTCTCTTTCATACCTAACTTTAGGCTACTTCAAAGGTTAGGAAAGATACTGTCATTCCACCCAAAGAGGAGGAATAGGAGGAGAGAATGTTTCTCAAATACAAGGCCAAGCCTCTTCCAGCTTTTCCCACTTAATCACCCAAAAGAATCCCTGGGAAAACTCACTCTCTTCCTTTTTCAGAGACTTTTCCTTTCCCTGTGTCTTCATTTTTTTTTTTTTTTTTGCCTGACTTTAATCCTAATCCCCAAAGTAAACTTGAAACTTTCTTATTCCGAATAGAGGTCCCCCCTGCCCCCAGCTTCCCTCAGCTCTAGCAGCCCGCTCCACCTGGGAGAACGGGACTGAGAGTGAGGGTTAGGGGTTTAAATTAAGAAAGCGAGGCAGCTCATCCATGAAACTATTTTGCTTTTGAGCTCGCTGTCCTCACCTGGCAACGGGAAAACACTAGTAGAGCTCAGAACAAAGTAGCATTTTGGAATCCATTTTGCTTAAGGTGCATGGCAAGCTGCCCTTGGCACCAGGGCCAGATTAAAGAGGGGCTCTACCACCCGGATGTGGTCAGTAACCAAGTAAGGTGAGAGTCAGTTCAGGTGCCTGTGACACCTGAGAGCGGCCAGGTGCATGGCTCTCGTGCAGGAAAGCGCAGGTAATAGGGTGATGCGGGTGGCCCACCCAGCGAGCTGCTTCCTGCATTTGGACAGAGGTCCTCTAAGGTCCAGTAGCAGTAGCCGCCGGGCAATTAGGTCCTTTTTTGTCTGTCCCAGTTATTTATAGGTGAGATTTACAATGTATGCGGGAAGGGACGCGGGATGACTATGGCCTTTGGAAGTCATAATCCTAAAAGTCACACTTTCTACAAAGCGCTCCCTCCCCTCCTGGCTGCTTCTCCTCCCCAGAGCAGGGACGGTGGCAGCGAGGGAGTGTGCACCGCGCGCACCGCAGTGGTCCAATGAGGTGGAGGGCCCGGCGGGGAGACCCGGAGGCGGGGAGGGCAGGCGAGGAGGGCGCCGGGGGGCGTCGCTGCGGGGCTCACCTGCCAGGCTGTTGTAGCAGTCGATCTCGATGGCTTCCACCGTCTTGCTCTGCTCCTCCGAGAGGCGACCGGTTTTGAGAGCCCCGGCCGGGGAGGCCGCGCGCGAGTCCCGCTCCCCGGGGGGCGGCAGCAACCCCTTCAGCTCCAGCAACGCGCGGTGGTATTTGCCGATGGCTTCGCGGAATTTCTTGTCCTTGTAGCACTGCGCCCCTTGGCTCTTGAACTCGTGGGCGCGCCGGATGAGCTCCGCCGGCTCGGCAGCCGCCCCAGCCTGGCCCGGCGCTGGGGCCCCGGTGCCACTGGCGGAGGCGCACAGAGGCGGCGGCAGCCGCTGCCCCTCGCCGGCT